CTTTTCACTTGAATCGTGCACGATTGCCTAGTTTTTTTAAAAAAAATTAATGGATCCCTTATTACAATAACTGTAAAAAGAGTTTAATAGGCCAATTTGAAATCAAGATTGCATTTAATTCACAATAAAATCGGACATCCTGTGTCCAGTGAGACTTGGGCTTGGTCAGGTGATAAGAGCCCAATTACAATAGGCTTCATAAACTGGAGCGTAGCATAACTCACAAATACAATTCACTCTCAATTTGGGCTCCTGAATAAGCCCACTGCTCGATGGACTCTCGCCCAAAGTATGCTGAAATTCATTATTGTGGAATAGGTTTAGATGCCCTACTTCATAGTTTAATATAATATAAATTTGGGCTTTCAAGTTAGGTGGTGGGTTCAAATTAAAAGGCTTTGTCCTTTTGTTTGAATCCGGACTTGAACTCGAAGCCCGAATTTTATAACATTGATTATTTAGGCCCCTTTTAGAGACAAAATTCAATAGAAAATCATAGCATGCTTTAGGATATCCTTCAAATAAAAGTGGGACGAGCCTCGCCAAACAGATCTATAAATTGCGGGGCCCCCCATTAAATGCTTATATTAAAATATTTTAGAAATTGGGCAAGCCATTTAACAAATTTTCATGGCTTCCCGCAAAGTTAATAAGGCGCTAGCCACTTTAGGCACGCTTTTAATAATTTTACTTTCCTAAACTCGGGTGCGCATTTCATGCAACCCAAATCCAAATCCCAAAACGTTGAATAAGAGGTGTTTAGGATCCGGGTGCATTTCATGTGACGTGACCCAAAAACACGCTCTTAAACGGCGTTCACTTTCGTAAAAACAAAATAAACTAAAAGCGGTGAACGATCTTAAAATTACGCTATAGGTTTAAATATGTATAAAAACCAGATTTTAGCCATTTATGATAATTTAAGCGACCGTGCTAGAACCACGGGATCCGGGGGTGCCTAACACCTTCCCTCGGGTCAACAGAATTCCTTATACAGAATTTCTGGTTCGCAGACTCTAATTGGGAAGTCGAAATTTTCCTCGATTTGGGATTTAAATTAAATCGGTGACTTGGGACACCGAAAGCCAAACCTATCCCAAGTGGCGACTCTAAAAATAAATAAATAATCCCATTTCGAATAATGTCACTTTAAATGGAAAAACTCCCTTATACATTTATCCTTCGGGGTAGGTGTGTAAAAAAGGGAGGTGTGACAAACATGACTCTCCACTGAAGGACTGTACACCAATATATCATCAAAGAATACCAGCACAAACTTCCTAAGGAAAGGCCTGAATACATGACTCATTAAACTTTGAAAGGTAGCAGGTGCATTAGTTAACCCAAAAGGCATAACCTTGAACTCATAATGTCCCAAGTGAGTCCTAAATGCAGTCTTGTATATGTCAGATTCCTTCATTCTAATCCGGTGATAACCAGCCCTCAAATCAATCTTTGAATAAATGCATGAACCATTTAATTCATCCATGAGATCATCTACTAGAGGTATAGGAAATCTGTCTTTCACAGCCATTTTGTTTAATTCTCTGTAATCTATACAAAACCTCCAACTACCATCCTTTTTTTTACCAATAACACTGGTGAGGAGAAAGGAGAGTGACTAGGCTGAATGGTACCACTATTAAGCATGTCAGTCACTTGTTTTTCTATCTCATTCTTTTGAAAATGGTTATACCTGTAGGGTCTAATGCTGATTGGAGCTGCATCTGATTTGAGAGGGATGAAGTGATCATGACTCCTCTGTGGTGGCAGAGACTTTGGCTCAGCAAAAACTCCTGGAAATTCAGTCAGCAGCCTTCTAATTTGTTCAGGTATGCCTCTTCCATCTGCAGTAGACTGAGCAGTAACTGTGAAGAGATGAGCCCATAACAGTTGGCCCTTCTTGAGTAGCTGCTTCACCCCTGCAGCTGACATACTCTGTAAGCTACCCTCTTCAGAAAAACCCTTCAGTTCTACTCTCTTTCCCTCCACACTGACCTGTAATCTATATCCAATAAAATCACACAATATAGGATTGTGCTTTCTCATCCAATCCACTCCTAAAACCATATCACATCCCCTAATGTCTAACATTCTCAGCTTGTGCTCAAATTCAATGCCTTGCATTTTCCATTTGAACTGAGGGCAAGAGTGATAACTCATCAAGTTACTCCCACTGGCAGCTGTAACCTTCATTGGAGCATCTACTTGAATCACACACCCCAATTGCTTTGCAGTTTCACTTGCTACAAAACTATGGGTGCTACCACTATCTGCCAGTATCACCATGACTTGCTTACCATACACTCCTTTCAATTTGATAGTAGTAGAGGTGACTGTCCCAGATAAGGCATTGAGACTATTGCCTCATCGATTCTTGTCTCCTGACTTTGCTCCTCCACTATCCCTTCTTCATCAGCATTCATTTCTACCCCCTCTTGTTCAGTAGACCCAGACAATACAATTAGCTGCTTATTCTTACATTGATGACCAGGGAAATATTCTCCCCACACTTATAACATTCCCCTCTTGCTCTTCTTGCCTCAAACAATTTGTTGCCCACATTGTAGGAGGTAGATCCCCCTTCCTTCTGTTGGAACCCAGATGTTCCCACTCCTGATTGACTATTAGTATTGTTGTACTGTATTGACTGCCTAGTAATGTTTACCTTACCCTTCTTAGCTACTGCTTCTAATAGCTTTTCTTTATGCCTAACTTTCTCCACTGCTTGGCTCAAGGAAAAAGGATCGAGCATCTTGACTGTGTGCCTGATTTCATCCTTGAGTCCCTCAATAAAGAATCCAAGGAAGAATTCTTCAGGGATAGTGGGGTGTTTAATCAAGACCCAAGCCTTCAAATCTTCAAATCTTGCCAGGTAATCATTCATTGATCCTTGCTGCTCAATTCTTTTTAACTCTCCCAAGAGATTAAGATTGCTATTATCAGACTCCTCAAATCTCTTACTGATTTCTTCTACAAACTCAGGCCATCTCACACTACCTCTGCTCAGATGATAAGAGAAGTACCAGGATTCAGCTCTCCCGTTGAGATGGAGGACAGCAGCCTCCAACTTCTCCTGAGGATCAGTTATCTGATTAAAGTGAAAGTATCTTTCACACTTGCGAAGCCAAGATCTGGAATCACCTTTTTCAAAATAAGGAATTTCAAACCTATATCTATGGTTATTTCCTTGCCTTCTACCAATAGAATACTCATTCTGCTCCGCAAACCTGGGTCGACTACTGGAACCTTCAATGTGATTAACTTCGACTGGAGCACTCCCCAAGATGCCATCCTTGCTCGTGAAGAGCTTATCCATCATCACATCCAGCTTTCTTCCAACATCATCGATCTTAGAATCATGCGATTCCAATTTTTTATTCGTCTCTGCCATGTAATTTTGTAACTGATTATCTAATTTCTTCACGTAATCTTCATTAGACTTCGAACGAGTTTCTGGAACTGTCACTGTAGCCAGGAAATGCTCTGATACCAATTTGTAATGTACTTAATTGAGAAATGAAATTCGAAAAGGAACTAAGCTTTTTTGATCAACAATTCAATGATTACAATCTGCACTTCAACTGACATGAATGAACTCAGAAGGAATAGAAATGGAGTTTAGAGAGAAGAAGAAGAAGAAGAAGAAGAGGAAGAAAGAAGAAGAAGAAGAAGAAGAAGAAGAAGAAGAAGAAGAAGAAGAAAGGAAAAGAAGTAGAGAGAGAAAGTAGTTAGGATTCTGTTATTGCAAAAAGATACCCACTTCACTACTAATGTGTTATTTAACTAACTGACCCAACTAATTGGACTAATTCAATAAAGACCCCAAGGCCCAATACTCTTCCTTCTGAAAGCCCAATACGTGAAGCCCAGTAAGACAATCCAATTCCCAATTCAGCTATACCCTATTTCCTTGTTTGTATCGTCACTTTCCTTTTCTTGTCTGAACATTACAAGTGCAGACTTATTTTGAATATATGATATTAGCAATATTATATTTACATATAATTCGGGCAGAACATGTAGGTGCATGCACTAGTTTATGCATATGCTTTGAAACACACCAAACTCTTTGAGGCTTTTCAACGTTTTACTCGTTTTTGCCTAATCTTCATATCTCATGACTTCAGGAAAGTTGTTTTCCAAGAATGAACATCATAATTAGTAGTGGAAGCAGAATTTTCACCAGAAAAACTTAAAAAATAAAAAGATAAATATAGGAAGCTAAGGAGATTCTACATCTAATATAATACATGAAAAAAAATAACTTTACATATACCGTATAATTTTCGACAAAAAAAATATACGGTTGAACACCCTTCCGCTCAGCTTGCACCGTCCTTGATTGTGATAATTGGTGAATCACCAACCTTTTCAAATCACGTCAATTGTTGCTTTTTGTTTAACCATCTGATATACGAAGTTCACTTATCCAACCGACTCATACATATATATATATATATATATTCGTATCAGGTAGGCTTATTTACTAAGCGGTAAAACGCTCTTCACCAAAAAGTTCTTCATTCTCAAGATTAGAATCTGAGACTTCTAATCGAGGACGAAGGAAATCCTAACTATTCTACTATAGATGAGTAAACTCTTTCTGACTAAAACTCCAGAAAGAAGTTAAAATAAAACAGAGTGAAGAGCTAAGAGATGTTCATGCATGTTCAAGGTTCTCGTTAAACATGTGAGATGGAAGAAAGAGTGGCACGTGACAGAAACGTGCACCCCATGTGAAGAGGGCACTTTGGGTCCAAGGCCCATTTCTTTAAAGAGGAATCTCTGGTCAAAATGGTCATTTAAATGAAACTGTCCACATATAAAACCCACATCTCATTAAATAAGTCTCATCCACCCATATACCTATTTGGCCTTTTTTTAAACCAGAAAACATATATAAACGATGTCTATATATTTGATGTATGTCTTATTATACACTTTTATTGCTAAATATTAGATAGGGGTAACAATTTATTAATCCACCAAAAGCGGGATAAAAGAACTGAAAACTAACATATATTGATTTAATTAGCCTATCATTTGATAGCAATTAATTATAGTCAACACATTATCTTATCCAACATGGTAAGAAAAAAATCGAAACAGTAACAAATGAAAAGAAAATGAAATTTTAGAAACACAGGTGTGGGGTTACTATTTGCTATATAATACAAAAATATTCGAAGAACAGCTTGACTGTTGACTTCTCCGACCGATTGACGTGGCGGATCTAAGTCAGCGTTCCTAGTGGTGCACGGTGGCGTTAGGCGCCGGATGTGGTGGTAGACTTGGTGGAGGAACTGCAGGTTTGCATTGGTAACACTTTGCAAAAAGGCCAAATGTATCAACTTGTTTGATGAAATTGGTCATGCTAGCCCATCCTCCAAATCCAAATCCAACGACTAAACACCAACCCACTACAAATATGTTAATGACATACATTACAGTCCAGCTTGGCATGAAAGATGGTGGCTTCTCCGCCGCATTCTGCAACAACAATTACGTCTCAGTCTCAAATACTTATTAAAAAAAAGTTAAATTCATAATACTAAGGGTGTCCCACTTGATTAACACAAAGTATGTTACAACTTTGGGGTATAGACTGAGGTTGACAAATGAGTCAAGTTAATTTCAAGCAGGGAGAAAATAAATTCTAATTTCATTAAGGAATATTGTAAAATAGGTTAAATTAAAGGAACATAAGGGGTAGTCAACAGCTAGCCAGCTCATATCTCAAACATAATACAACACTGAGACTGTAGGCATGTAACTAAATGAAAATGACTTCCCACCTATATCTCCTTCCCTACATAAATATTTCCAAATCCAAGCCTTTAATGCCTTTAAGTACCTTTGTTTCCATTCTGTCTCTCTCTTAAATCATTCTGCATCCCTCTTTCAACATAATTTAAAAAGAATTTTACAATTATGTACATTGACATAAAGGTAGGCCAGTGCACAAAGCATCCCTCATTCACACATGAATTGGGGAAGGACCCACCCCTAGAGGTGTAATGTAGACAGCCCACTCTAATGCAAGCATTACTGGCTGCTTCCATGGCTCGAACCCGGCCAGTGACCGATAAGTCACATGGAGACAACAACAACAGCAACAAACCCAATATAAATCCCATAAATGGGATCTGGGGAGGGTAGTGCGTACGCAGACCTTACCCCCTACATTATAGAGATAGAGAGGTTGTTTCCGATAGACCATCGGCTCAAAGAACAACGGATAGGTCACATGGAGACAACTGACATATAAAGAATATTTAAAAATGTCAATGAATTTTAACTTGTTATAGTAGGTTATATGTCACATTTTTGCAGGTTACTAATTTCCACGTAATAGTGGACCTAAAAAGCAATATGAATATATACACAAAGTATAAAGAGAAAATTTTGGAAGGTATAGAAATAAATGCATTACCTGTCGAGCAGAAGCTGTTCTATAAGTGAGCATATGGGCAAGAGCTGGAATGATGTAGACTGTGAAACTAACCAGAAGAGCCCCAACTGCAGAATTAATGGGGCCAAAAAATGGGAAAATAATAGCCAAAAACCATATAGGTATCACCACAGGCAACCTAACCAATGCCCTTAAGCATATACTTTTAGTGTCATGCATCCCTAGCACCTTCTCCCACACAAAGTACAATGGCGTACATGCAAATCCAAATGTGATAAACTGGTGGATTAACATCAAGATTACAGCAGCGTCGCGCCATCCGTCTTTGGGCAGAAGTGAAAATGCGTTACTGTGGTTTAAAAGTTGATCACCAAATGCCCAGTACACAGCTGAAGCTGATGGAATGGTTAAGGTGAAAACGTAGAGTGTGGCTATTAAGTAAATGTATTTGAACTTCTGGGGTTTCCACATTGCATGCATAATTTCCCTAAATATGACAAAAAGGGAAATTGGATTAGTTAATTAACCTGGACACGAGAAGTCATAAATACAGGAATTTGGAATCTAATTAAATACTCTAATTACTTTAAGAGATGATAAGTACGTTGGAGAATATTAGCATTGGATTCTACACTACAATTCAAAGTTGTCCCTTATATGAATTTAACTCCAATACATTGACATTTTAGATGACTTTACATGCTATCACTATAATTTAATCTGATGTGACATGTTAATTATCTATCTCTAATTCTTTAGATTACTAATTTCACTTATTATGAATAGTTAACCGCTATGTTGCTCGGACTCTTTTTAAATATTGTTGTCGGGTGCATGTCGGACCCTCCAAAGAAAATGTATTTTTGGAGGATCCGACACGGGTGCGGCATCATTTTGTGAAGTCCACGCAACATAGGTTAACCGTAATTACCTTCTAGGTGATCAAGTGATGATGTAAAAGTATATTGACGATTTAAAAGTTTTTACACTATCATATCACTTAAAGAAAATCAAAAGTAATTATCCATAGTAGAATTACTGACCTAAAAGATAAATTAATTATTACAAATCCAAAAAAGAATGAGTTGGCTATGAGAGCTTACACAGTAACAGCATGTCCACCAAAGGTGTAAAGAATATTGGTGGCACCAGTGAAATACAGCACAAGCTTTGCTGGAGCAGAGTGTTGTACATTTTCAACCTATTGATTGATATAAATGAATTTCCATTTATAGAAACCGAGAAAAAGAATTTTAAAATGTATAGTAATAAATGATGGATATTGTTAAAAAAATGTGAGAAATTTAGTACAGTATTATTTACCTGGCCATGAACAACAGCAGCAATAGTTAAGTACCATGCAGTGTAAGTGGTCATACCAAGGCCAAGGAAAGACCAAATCCGATAGTTATGGAAAGAAGGAATAAAAACAGTGGTAGCACAACAAGCTCCAAATATGTATGTCCATGTCCTCTTGTCTAAATGGTCATTGATATAATATATGTTACTGTTTCAAGTTTAAAAAAAAGAATCCATCAAATTAAAGATAAAGATCATGTTTATAATTCGAAATTAACTTCTATGGAGAGTTAAAAAACTTATATTACATTATAAAGTTATCTAAAAGATTATCAAGTAATCATTCCTAATAATTAGTTGGATTAGTAATCTGAAAGATAGGACCGATAACTTGCTACAACAAATTAAAATAAACTAATACTAATATAAAAATCTTTTAAAGGGGAGCCTTGGAGTAACGGTAAATTTATCTCTCTGTGCTTATATGTCATGGGTTCGAGAGCCCACTAGTGCTATATTAGAGTAGGCTGTCTACACACACTCGTAGGGATGCAGTCCTTCCTTGCACCTGCATAAATATCTTATGCTTTTTGCACCGAGCCGCCCTTTTACTAATATAAAAATCTTTTATGCCATTAGGTTGGATATATTTTTAAGTATTGTGCCCTTTTTTGTGGGGGTAGAGGTTGGGTTTTTTTTTTTTTGTGTGTGTGTGTGGGCGTGGGCGGGGGGGTAGATGAAGAATTTATGATCATGTTCAAAAGCTCCATACCTTGCGCAAGCAATAAGTTGAATGACAGATCCAAACAAAAGGAACGTACAGTTGAAGGCAAGCCCCACTGCTTTCCAGTAAGGACCCAATAGTCCATCTAGCACTTCAAACCACTGCCAATTTAAAGTAAAAAATCAGATAAATATGAATCTTTCTGCAAGTTATAAGATTCTGATAAAAGTACTAATTTCTTTTTTTCTTTCTTTTTTTTAAAGAAAAAAGAATATTACAAGTTGAAATATGTGGATAAAAAAGGCAGTCCGGTGCACAAGTTATCACGCGTTCACGCAAGATTCAGGAAAGGACCACATCTCAAGCAATGTGATGTAAACAAGTTACCCTAATACAAACATTAATGTCTGCTTACACGGCTCGAACCTTTACGGAGAAGAATTTATTCTTCTTAAAAAGAAAAAGAAAATAAAATATCCTACCTGAATGACATGATTCTTGAAGCTAACACCTTCTTTTTCTTTTCTACTTCTGTACTCTATGTAAAGAACACTGATAAGGTATGCAGTCCAGCTCCCAACAATACCATAGAAAACTTGTAGCACTATTCCTGATGCCATACCAAGTTGAGAAAAAGAATATGGTAGTGTCAACAACACTTGAGCTACCTGTAAAAATTGAATAAAAAAGAGTTTAACTTCTATACAGAGTATGGATAATAGTCAAATTAGTAATCTGAAAAATAAGAGAACAAATCTTTTATGACAATTTAAATTGTAGTGATAGTGTAAGAATTTTTTTTAATATACTGTCAATAGATATAAGTTAAATATATTTACTTAAGAATAAAGATGATATTTACAAAAATAAGGGCAGCCCATTGCATAAAGCATCCGAGGAGGGTTGCACTGACGTAGACAATTTATTCTAATGCAAACATTAATGGCTGCTTTTACGGCTCGAACGCATGACATATACGTCGCACGGAGCTTTACCGTTGCTCCAAAGGCAACCCTTTAATATTTCCAAAAATAAAAGAAAAAGAGGTTTAGTTAAATTTTACTACATACTTGATTAGAAGCACAACTAAACCAAGCATCCCAAACAGAACCACCATGCCAAAGGAGACTTTTGACACTGAAAATGGACTGATCTTCTGATTTCTCAACTTCTCCATCTTGATGATCAGTTTCATTAAAGTTTGAGACAATTGCTTCTTCTCCTTGCTTCTCAGAATACATTCTCTTCGATTGAAAACAAGACTTGTCTAAATTCTGGCAGATCTAAAAAGCACAAAAAGAACAGAAAATGAGACAAAAATAAAACACATGCACCTCCCCAAAAATTACAACTTATTTCCCAAGAAAACGAAAGCCAATAATTCCCTAGATCCAGAAAAACTTTTTTTTTTCATTAAAAAAAAAAAAAAGAAGCTCATTTTCCAACTTTGTTTAAAATACCGTGTATTGAGATGTCTGTTTGTTGAACCAGATCTCTTGTAAAAGAAGCAAATATATACTCCTCCTTTGTATACACAGAGAAACAGAGAAAAGGGTAGGAAGAAAACAACTAGTGAAACAGAGTAAAGAAGAGATTAAAAAATTCCTAAGATAAATGCTCCAAAACAAGAATTGACAGACAGAGGGTGAGGGATCACAGCTAAAGGAGTAGTAATAGGGGAAATTAATGCAGCTCAGAAATAATTGCTGTAACAAAAATCTCTGAAACCACAACCAATTCAAAATAAGCCAACTTAAATGCAGTGGAATTAATATCTGCAGGTGCGCGGCCGAATCAGAAAGGCGGCGAAAGGAACCTCAAAAACAGGAAAAAGGGTCTCAGAAATGACAGAGTTTTTCTATTGATGAAAGCAGAAGTAGAAAGCAGGGAAGAGAGGAACTTTTCACTAGTACTATTTAAGTACACATACAATGTAACATATTTATAAACAACAGCCAGATTAGCTTACTGTACTTGGCAAATAGTAGCGGAAGCAAAAAATATGCGAAAAAGTTAAGAGTGAGATTCAACATTTAATTTATATACATAAAAAAAATTAACTTTATATATACAATGTGATTTTCTGATGAAAGGGTTCAGTCTCCTGCCCACCTAGCTCCGCCTATGTTGACGGGGTAATGTGAGTGTGTGTGCATACATATATATATATATATATATATATTCAATTAGGTCAATTAAAAGGTAATTGCGGATAATTCCGTTTAACAGTAGCATTGATCGACAATCTTTAATAATTCTAATTGCCTTGTGATTTTCTATAACAAGTTAAATTACATTGATGGCGTAAAAAGTTCTGTCAACGACTCAGCACGTATGCCTTTACCTATAATTATCTTACTAATGATCTAATTGCGTAAAAGTTTATTATACCTTGAGTAGTCGAATTTAGACTCAAATCTTTTATTAGGCTGTTAAGAGCTCCTAACGGCCCCAAAATATAATGAAAACTTAAAAAAAAAAAAAAATAATCATTCTATGTTTGACTATCATTTTCTCTTGCATGTGCTGTGAGTTCGTAAAAAATACAAAAGAAGATTAAAAACAATTGTTATCTTAATTTCAACAAAATATATCATGTGCGAGATCAGCAACTTTTTGTTTTTTCTTTTTCTTTTTGAATCGCAATCTAAGTACAAAAATTCATAGGTCAATGTAGCGTAAACGCTCTGAACTAATTAACCACTTGACGGTGGATTTTACTTATATTAATAATCCAAATTCTCGTAACTTTTTTGATAATTTTCCATCTTAGTTTAATATTTCGAATTTTATACTTTTGTTAAATGTCTATCATTCTAAAAAGGATTAATAAGTGGAATGAGAAGTTTTATTATGATTAAGACTGAGACAAAAAGAATATGCCTTAGTTATATTGATTCCATGAGAATTTAATATCTCAAATAATTCATTGAACCGATGATACGCAAGAGTTTAATATAGACAAAAGGAAAATTTAGTTATTAACTTAGTAACTTTATTATTAAGTAGGTAAATTCCTATTACTTTAATATGTCGCTTTATATGATCTTCACCTAATGAGATGGTTTTATGAATTGAGTTTGGTCCAATGTTTATCTTTTATCATGGTATCAGAATCCGACCCATCCAATTTGGTTATCCAATGTTGCGTCATCATATTATATTGTTCACTCCAGTTGATATGTATGGGCGTGTTGGGTGTTAGAATTCACAGGTCAATTATGGATGGATGAATTTGTCTCTTTATATGGCTGGCTATTAGGGGCGAAGCCAGAAATTTTCTCAAGGATGTTCAAACTTGAAAGAAGTAAAGAAAAATCACGACATAGGGTGTTAATATATATTATATACATCTAAAATCTAATATTTACTTATATACAATGCAATTTTTCGTAATATTTCAACGAAATGATGGTCAATTGACCACCCTTAATAAAAGGTAGCTTCGCCCCTGCTGGCTATAAGTGAATTAACCCCAGAGAAGTATAATATCGGAAAAAAATCTTAAAAAGAGAATTTATATATTATTAATAAGCTAAGTCTTATCACTTGAAATATTCCAATGTGGATAATTTTGCCAATACCTTTTCTCCTACTCTTATAATTATTTCTTTTGCCATGCATTAATAATGAGCATTTGAGTCCACCACTTACATTTTGACCAATTAATAAAGTGAAATAAAGAGTCTAAGGAGGTGTAAACCAACGAGAGAAAGCGTTATTTTGTCAATCGTGATTAGTTATTTCTTACCTTTTACATGTGGATAATCTTTCTATATTAATTTTAAATTTTACGTCTTACGTTAGTGGCAGAATCAATGATTAAGGAATGGATTTTCAAGCCACGAGGGATCAAAATTAAGGAACATGTTCCATCGTTGACATTCACATGGGTCCAGCAAATAGCGATACTTCTTAATTGCTACTACTAATCTAATACCACTTGCACTTTCACTATTTCTCAACAAACGTACGTTTCAGACTCTTTCACATTACATATATTTCTTTTTAATTAGAAAGTACAATCAAAGAAAACAATATTTAACTCTTTAAATATAATAGTGTGAAATAAAATGAAAGTGAGTGAGTGCTCCCAATTTACTTACAGCTGGTTTGCATGGTTGTTACAAATGTCGTTTCATAATGTATTATATTACATTATACTATATTATATTGTATTGTTTGATGAATATAATGTTTGGATGTATTGTATCATTTACAGTCATTTCATAATGTTATGCTCCAATAATATAAGGAATAAACTTGCAACATTACTAAAAAAAAATAGGTTATGTAATAGAATTATTATATAAAAATGTAGGGTAAAGGATAAAATATGATTATTTAATAATAAGGAAAGGCAAGATGAGAGAAAAAAGCAAGGTAACGACCCATCATACCAAATCCATCGTTACATAAAGTGGCACTTTTTGTCGTTACGTAACGACGAATTTAACGATACAATATAAAAAAAATTAAGTAACAATCAAAACAAACATTATATTTAAAGTGATACACGATACAATACAATAAGTAACAACAAGGCTGGTTGACACCAATTCTGTTGATTTGCTTACTATATGTAAAGACTCAATTAATTGTTAAATGATCTTATATATTTTATCCTTTATTGACAAGAAAAGAGATTAATTTCAACCATTTGGATATTTGGTCAAAAGAACTAGGCTCGTTCTTATTAATTATTACTTCTTTTGTTTTGCTCATATATAAGTCATATGGAGAAATATAATTCCTACTCCGTGGATGGAGATACTTTATTTATGGTTCTTTTTCCTTTTGTGGAAGAGTGATACTTTGTGGTTGTTACAAACTTATTCTTTTCCCTACTGCTTTTTGCATAACGTGAAACTAAAATAATAAAAAAAAATACAAAAGATATATCTTTTACTCGTAGTAGGGGCCAAAAGTTACTTTAGTCCAAAGACGGAAAATGTCTTTTGGAGTTGGTTTTAGTGCACCTAATGAGCTAAAGTAAGTCCTTTGTTGTTCATAACCCCTTTCTTCCCCCATATACTTCTCTTGGCAATTTGCTTTCCATTTTCAATAATGGGGGCCAACTTTGGACCTAAAGTTTTCTTCACTATACTCCCTCCTCAAACCCTAAATAAAGGAAAGAAGAAAATTAAAATAGTTTTCTTTATTGGGTGAAGGAACTGTATTTAAAGGTGGGACAGGAGGAGGAGTTCTATTGGTATGAAAAGGATAATAAAGCTGTTCGAGGGCATCTGCTTAACCGTATGATTAACCCTCTCTTTGATTTGTTTATAAATTATAAATCTGCCAAAATCATATGGGATAATTTGGAGAATAAATATGGTGCAGATGACGCGGGAAAAAAGAAGTATGTGGTTGGAAAGTGGATCAAGCTTCAGATGGTTAATGATAAGCCGATCATGGAGCAGGTTCACGAGTATGAGAACTTGACTGCTGATGTTTTGAACGAAGACATAGAGATGTGTGATATTCTTCAGGCTAATGTTTTGCTTGAAAAATTTCCACCTTCTTGGAGTGATTATAGGAATCAGCTGAAACACAAGAAGAAAACTTAACTCTTCAAGAACTGATCAGTCACATGAGGACTGAGGAAGCAAACCATCTCAAAGATGAGGAGTCTGAATGGCTTACGGATAAGATGAAATCACTCTCTCTTAATCTTCTAAAGCTAACCTTGAGGAGTCTGAATGGTTTAAAGGAAAATAGAATAAAGGCCAGAAGAAAGGACATGCGAAGAAGCAGAATTACTTCAATAAGCCGGAGGGCCATATTCAAAAGTCGAAAGGACCTTGCTATGTCTGCGGCAAAATTGGTCACAAGGCTTTTCAATGCAACCAGAGACAAGGACAAAACTTAAAGAACGGAGGAAAAGCTCCAGTCCAAGATAACCTTACTGAGGGTGGTGATGTCATTGTTGTTGTGGTCGTTGAGGCGAACATGGTGGCTAACAAGACTGACTGGATACTGGACACAGGCACTTCAAGGCACTTTTGCGCCAATAAGGAGCTGTTCACGACTTTGAGGAATCTGCTGATGGCGAGTGTGTCTACATGGGTAACTCCACTATAGCTGGAGTTATGGGTAAAGAAAAAATTCTCCTTAAGTTAACTTCTGGAGAAACCTTAGCTTTGAACAATGTTCTGTATGTACCCTCCCTTTGCAAAAACTTAGTTTCTGGTGCGCTTCTCAACAAAGCAGGTCTTAAACTTGTTTTTGAATCTGATAAAGTTGTTATTTCTCGTGGGGGAGACTTTTTTGGGAAGGGTTACCTTAGTGGGGGTTTATTTATATTGAACATCGCCCATGAGATTACTAATAATGCCAGTACTTTCAATTCTGCTTATATTGCTGAGTCTATTAATTGTGGCATGGTAGACTAGGTCATGTTAATATTGCTTCTATTAAAAGACTTAGAAAAATAGAATTAATTTCTGCAGTTAATGTTGATAATTTTTCTAAGTGTCCTGTTTGTGTTGAAGCAAAACATACCAAAATAACTTTAAAGAATGTAACTAGTAGAAAGACAGAATTGCTTGAACTAGTGCATTCAGACTTAGCAGATTTTAAGAATATTGTTAGTAAGGGTGAAAATAAATACTACATCACTTTTGTAGATGACTTTTCTAGATACACTAAGGTATATCTTCTTAAGTCAAAAGATGAGGCTAAAAGCATATTTTTGAAATACAAGGCAGGAGTAGAAAATCAATTAGACAGAAGAATCAAGACACTTAGGTTTGACAAGGGTGGTGAATATAGTACTAATACTCTAGAAGCCTTTTGTGAGAAAAATGGTATTATACATGAGGTTAGTGCTCCCCATACATCCCAACAAAATGGTGTAGCTGATAAATGATGAAAAGTGCATATTTTTGAGTATATTTGCATATTAATTCTTGTGTGTGTCGCGGAAGATTA